CGCCAGATCCATGGGACACTTTTCAGTGTTCATTTATTAGGTCATCGGGAAAGTCATGATATATTTTTATATATTTTTTTTTAATGTAAAAATGCATCATGACTGGGACCAGCAGTTAGTGTAATGGCTATGTTGCTGGACTCCCACGTAGTAGACCGCAGTTCGAGTCCCGGACCCAGTGGCTTAAATCCATGCTGGGCGCGTGTGCGTGCGTGCCCAAGATCCTGAGAGGAGAATGGAGGAAAGGGATTGTGGCGTGGCCATCCCCCCTGGGGGGATTGGAACATGCCCTATTGCGAAAACCTCTCCAAAAAAAGAAAAAAAAAATGCATCATGACTTTCCACACAACCTGATATTCGTCCACTTTATAGTTTCCCTAAGGACCATCCCTTGTAAGCTTCTCTCCTGAGACATCTCACACTTCCTATGACTGCACCTTCTGGGTCTCCTTTTCCTCAGGGGCCCTTAGGTGTGGTGCCCCCCCAGTTTCTCATCAAGGATCCCTCCTGTCTCTCTGAACAATCTTATCAGACCCTTTTCCATGCTGAGAATGGTGAATAGTAAATAACATATCAAACGAAAATAACTGTGCAGAGGGCCGGCCAGTGGTGAGTGGTTAAGGCGGCTGGGTCCCACATGAACCATTCAGTAGTTCGAATTGGGACCCAGAGGCTTGAAAAACACACCAGGTGGGTGTGCAGACATGCCCAAAATCCCAAGAGGAGAATGGAGGAGAAGGGATTGTGGTGTGGCAGTCCCCGCTTGGGGGAATGTGTGTGTGTGATTTCTCACTTTCACTCTCTCTCTGGTGAGTGCAAGGGGTCTATAGCAAAAATTGAAAAAGAAAAGAACTGTGTATGAACACAGGAAGCTATGTGGAGGAAGACAGCTGAGGGAGGAACCACAAATACTGAAGAAGGGCTGGGGACCTGACAGACCTGGGGAGAAATAACGGGTCCTTCCATATGACTGTGAGAAGTTAGTATACCACCCAAGTCCTGGGTTTCTTGTCCACAGAACTGGGATAAGAATAGTACCTACTTCATAGGGTTGTTATGAGGATCAAGTGGGGTGATTAAGGAGCAAGCACTCAGGGCATGCAGTTGTCAGCATGAGGACTGTCTCCATTGTTATTTGTGGGAGAGAAGCAATGGAGACAAGTGAGTTCAAACAGAAATGGTGGTTTGGATCCAAGTTTTGAAACACAAGAGGGCAGTAGATTGGAGGGGTCTATTTGGAAGGGCATTCCTAACCCTAGAATGCAGATGACACATTACGGGGCTGGGAGCAGAGAGGCAGACTGGCCCCTTCCCGAGGCTGCTGCTCTCCTCTGGCCATCTGGACGACCTTGTGAGCACCTGACGGTGCATGCGGCAAGCAGCCAGGCAGCTAGGCACCGTGCCCTGGTGCAGTCCATTCCTGAGATAGTCTGCCCTGCAGTGGGGGAGGTGCTGGTGGATCAGAATGTTAAACAGCTTGGAGCTGGGGAAGAAAAAGGTCACCTATGGGGCCGTGTCCTGCAGGAAAGGACACAGTTACTGAAAGAAGGAGCCCCAGTTCCTAAGACGTACACTGAATCTGCCCTGCGTGATTGTGCAGCTGCCACGTCCTGACCTACAGGTGGCTGCTGTTTTTCCACGATTAGAGATGTCAAGAGGGGACCTGTGGTGTCTGGAGCCAGCTAGTACAGACTCATGAGAACCAACTGTTCAATTTTTAGGGCCAATGGCGTGGGGGTCAAGGCAGCTGGATCCTTTATGCCTGATCTGTGTTGAGTCCCGGATCCTGTGGCTTGAGAAACAAGCTAGGCACATGTGCAAGTGTGCCCAAAATCATAAAAGGAGATGTGGAGGTGAAGAGAATGTGGTCTGACTGTCCCCCATGGGGCTGCTTTCTCACTTTCTCTTTCTTTTTCTCTATGTCTCTTTGGAAAGCACACATGCCCTCACACAAATTATAAAAAATTTTGTTTTGCAGGAATTTTACAAACCATTGTTAAGCACAGCCATTTTGGGGACCAGCAGATGGTGTAATGGTTATATCACTGGACTCCCACAGAGTCGACTACAGTTTGAGTTCTGGACCCGGCAGTTTGAAACTCACACTGCGCACATGTGTGTGCATGCCCAAGATCTTGAGAGGAGAATGGAGAGGGATTGCAGTGTGACCACCCTCCCCAGGGTGTGATTTCTCGCTTTCTGTCTCTCTTTCTGCCTGTCTGGTGAGCGTACATGCCCTCTGGCAAAAAATCTCTCTAAAAAAAAAATAATAAATACAGACTTTTTAAAAAAGTTGTTATATAACTTTACAATCAAATAAATTACATTAAACAACTCATACCTAATTACTTTACTAGTCTCTCTGCAGTAGAGGATTTTACATTTTGGTATGGATATGGTGGGGGTACTCTGTAATGGAAATACACAGCTTGTCTTCATGTTGGCAATTGAAATTGGCTATGATGGAAGAATTTATCTCACAGAAGTCAGCAAGTACTTCAAATAAGTGCACACACATAAACACACACTTGTGCCTCGGGGCCGGCGGTTAAACGTTTACCAGCATCTCACTGCACAAACCGATTCCAGGAAGCTTGTCTTTGGCCATTTCTCACGAGTTCAGTCACCCCCATCTGCCCCAAATAAATAAGGCCTGAGTCCCATTGCAGACTTTCAGTCTCCCCATTCCAATATCCCAGTGTGAGCTGTTTGCCATGTCTAACTCTCACTGGCCGCACACCCCGCAGAGGTAAGAACAAGGGGGCCTTTACTGACCAACCATTGCCTGAGTCCTCCCTTGGTGAAGTTCTTGTTTAACTCTCACAACATCAGCCCGAGGCTGGTACTAAACCGTCCCTCTATCCATTTCTCAGATGACAAAGTGAGCCATGGAGAAGCAGTGAGTGGAACCAAGACACACAATGAAGACAGGGTTAGGGGCTTTCCTTTTTTAAATTAAATTAAATTTTTTAATATAAATTTTGGGAGGGGGCACGGATGCACACATGTATAGTATATGTGTGTGTGTATGTATATATATATATATACATATACTATATATAACATAATATATATGCATATATTTTTTTCCCTCCCCAAGCCGCTGGGTCCAGGACTTGAACTGCATTCAGTTATGTGAGATTCAGTGCCATAACCACCATGCCACTTGCTGGCCCCATTTTTTTTAAAGATCTTTAAAAATTTATTTTTATTTGTTGTTATTATTTATTTATTTAGGAGAGGTTTTTGCTATAGGGCATGTGCGCTTGCCAGACAGACAGAGATAGAAAGATAGAAAGCGAGAAATCACCTCCCAGGGGGATAGCCACACTGCAATCCCTTCTTCTCCATTCTCCTCTGGGGATCTTGGGCACACACGCACACGTGCCCAGCGTGAGTTTAAACCACCAGGTTCGGGACTTGAAATGCAGTCAACTACATGGGAGTCCAGCGACACAGTCGTTACGTTAACTGCTGGTCCATTTATTTTTTGATTTGCCCAGAGAGAGACAGAGAGAGAAAGAAAAAGAAAATGAGAAAGCAAGTCACCAAGTACAGGACTTGAACCATGGTTGGCCATGTGGGAATCTAGCACCTTAATCACCATGCTACCTGTTGGCCCTATTAAAAAAAAATTTTTTTTTAAATTTGCCAGAGAGTGTATGTACTCAGAGACAGACACAGTGACAGAGAGGGAAAGTGAGAAACCATATACACGCAGGGGCATGAACACACTACAACCCCTTCTCCTCCATCTCACCCTCCTTCTGGCATTTGGGGCATACACGCATGCGTGCCTGGCATGTTTTTCAAGCCACAAGATCTGGGACTTGAATCACACAGTTAGGCATGTGAGCTCCAGCTCTCTTAACTATCATACTACCGGCTGGTCCTGTAATTTTCCTTTTTTAGGAGGCCTCTGCTAACCATTAGCTCTACTAATAAGGAATACCCTGATGATCTGATAAGGGCATTTGACTGAGTGGTTCCGTTGGCACCCTTCAGACTGCCAACTGATTTAGCTTTCACCTACCACAGGGCACTGTTCTGCCGAAGTTTTATTGTCCTTAGTCACACACAATAAAACTGTGGACTCACAGGATGTGGCCTATCTGAAGTCTCTAGAAGACATCAATGAATACACAAGACTCTTCCAGAGTTAATGATCCACAATTTCAGTTGATGTAGTGCTTCTAAGTCAATCAATTATTAATTAAGAATTGAGATTCAACTATGTTACCAACGTAGCGTTAGACCTGGCTACCTCTCATGAAAGCTAATGGCCAGAGAGTTTAAATTACTTACTGAAAATTACACAGTTGTTAAGAGGTAAAGACAGGATACTCATGAGGGTAGTCCGATTCCAAAGCCCCTGCATCAGAAAGAGGGTGTGTGTGTGTGTGTGTGTGTGTGTGTGTGTGCGAGAGAGAGAGAGAAAGTACCCCCCAGAGGGGATGGTCATGCCCTCTACTCCATCCTCTCCCCTTTCAGGATTTTGGGCAGGCATGCACACAAGCCCAGAGTGTTCCTTGAACTGCACAGTCAGTCATGTGGGATCCAGCTGCCTTAACCACCACACAGCTGATTGGCCCCAAGGATACTTTTAATGTACAAGTAATATTTTCTTAAAGGTTAGAAAGTATTGCAAGGTGGAATCTGAAACAATATCAGTGAGCTTTTTCTATTCTGTTAAATTCATATCCAATGTTGAATGGAATCTTTCATCTATGCCTTTTTTTTTTATTTATTATTTTTTTTAATACAGGATCTCAGGTCAGCAGGTGGCATGGTGATTAAGGAACTGGACTCCAAAATGGTTGACTACAGTTCAAACCCTGGACCTGGCAGCTTGTTTTTTCACTTTCTCTCTCTCTTCCTCTCTTTCTCTGTGTCTCTCTCTGGTGAGCACACAGGCCCTAGAGCAAAATTTTAAAAAATAATAGTAATAAATAAAATTAAACAAATAATTCTTTAAAAAAAAAAGAAATACAGGGTCTCACCATGTTGTCCATGTTGCGATCCTTCTGCCATAGTACTCCCAAGTTGCTAGGATTACAGGTGCACACCACCACATCAGGCTTCCAGGTTTTACTGGGAACTGAACGTAAGCTTCCATGTGGTCCTACCCTACAGAACACAAAGTTTTAGCTGCATGCACCTTGCAGCTGGGTAAACGGCTTTTATTTTTCTTAAGAATTATTTATTGGGGGCCAGCAGGTTGTGTGGTGGTTAAGGGTGTTGGACTCCCACTTGGCTGACTGTGGTTCAAATCCCGGACCTGGCAGCTTACTTTCTCTCTCTCGCTCTCTATTTCTCTCTGTCCCCCTCTGGCCAAATTAAAATAAACAAACAAAGTTAAATAAAATAATTCTTTTTTTTTTTAAATTGGGGAGGGGCCAGCAGGTGGCATGATGGTTAAGGGTGTTGGACTCCCATATGGCCGACTGCAGTTTGAGTCACAGCCCTGGCGACTTGCATTCTCTCTCTCTCTGTCTCTGTCCCTCTCTGGTCAAATTAAAAATAAATAAATAAAGTCAAATAAAAATAACTTTTAAAAAATATTATTTATTGGGGGACCAGTGGGTAGTGCGGTGGTTAAGATGCTAAACACTCCCACGTGGCCAACCACAGTTTGAGTCCTGGATATGTTGACTTGCTTTCTCATTTTCTCCCTCTCTCTCTCTCTCTCTGTCTCTCTTTGGTCAAATTAAAAAATAAATGTGTGAATAAGTAAACTTAAATGGATAATTCTTTTAAAAAATAATAATAATTTATTGCAGGACCAGCAGATGGCATAATGGTTATGTTGCTGGACTTGCACAGAGTTGACCACAGTTCAAGTCTCAGACCTGGCGGCTTAAAACTCATGCTGGGGGCTTGTGTGTATATGCCCAGAATCCTGAGGCCTGAATGGGGAGAAAGGATTGAGGCCATCCCCCCAGGGGGCGATTTCTTGCTTTCTGTCTCGCTGGCAAGCGTATGTGCCTTATAGCAAAAACTTCTCTCTAAAAAAAAAAAAAAAAAAAAAAGATCTCAATAGATGCAGAGGTATTTGACAATATCCAACACCCATTTCTGATTAAAAAAATTATTATTTCAATCTTATTTATCATCATTATTATTTTAAATTTGACCAGAGAGAGAAAGTGAGAAAGCAAGTTGCCGGATCTGGCAGTTGGTCAAGTGTGAGTCTAGAACCTTAACCACCATGTTACCTGCTGGCCCCCAAGGATGACTTTTTAACATCGCGCATTGGTCATTTGGAAAATGTCATGCAAGTCTTCTGAAATTGCAGATTTTCAATATATAATACAATATGAAAATATCTCATTTGGTAATATTACCACGTGCCTTAGAGGCTTTTTAAAAATTTTATTATTATTTTTAATTTGCTATAGGGTGTATGTGTCCAGCAGAGAGAAACAGAGGGAAAATGAGAAATCACCCCTTAGCTGGGATAGCCACGGGCAATCTCTTCTCCTCCACTCCCATCTTGGGATTCTGAGTACACACATACATGCGCCCAGCATGTTTTTCAAGCCATCAGGGCCAGGACTTGACTCACACATTTGGTTGTCTGGGACCCAGCCCCTGTAAGTACCATGCCATTAGCTAACCTCAGAGGCATCTTTGAGACCTGGGAGGCTCTCAAGCTCAACATGGTAATAAGATTTCCAAAAATTCTAGTTTTCCCTTGAATGTTCAAATTTTATCACTGGCAACAAATATTATCAATGATTTTCTTTTTATTTTTTTGAGAGGTTTTTGCTATAGGGCATGTCTGCTTGCCAGACAGACAGAGAGAGACAGAAAGACAGAAAGCAAGAAATCACCCCCCCAGGGGGGATGGCCACGCCACAATCCCTTCTCCTCCATTCTCCTCTTGGGATCTTGGGCACTCACACACATGCACCCCACGTGAGTTTTAAGCCACCGGGCCCGGTACGTGAACCGCGGTCGACTCCGTGGGAGTCCAGCGACATAGCCATTATGCTAACCGCTGGTCCCACTATCAATTATTTTCTTGAAGCAACTGGGTCACTTCATTCATTTTTGAGGAAATAACTGCCAAGTATCAAGTCTGAAAACTATGACTTCTCTACCACTTGTTCTATTTTGTTGTTGTTAGAGATTTTTTTTTTTTTTTTTTTTTTTGAGATTTTTTTTTTTTTTTTTTTTTTTTTTGCTATGAGGCATGTGTGCTCACCAGAAACACAGAGACAGAGAGGGAGAAAGTGAAAAAGCATCCACTATCCACTATGCAGGATGGTTTGCCTTCTCCATTTTCATCTCAGGATTTTGGGCACACACGTACACACGCCTGGCATGAGTTTCGAGTTGCCAGCTCCGGGACTCCGACCACAGTTGGCTGCATGGGAGTCCAGCACCACTATGCTACCTCCTGGCCCTGCTATCAGTTGTTCTTTCAAGTTAGAATGGAATGATATAGACCCAAGTCAAGATTTAATAAAATTATTTTCTAAATGCCTTATTAAGGATATTTTATGTAAAATAAATTTTTAAAAGAACTCTGGAGAGCACGATAGTAGCACAATCTCTACTAGTACAGTCTGGTGGCTCTGTCATGGCTCGTGGGATGACACTGCTTTCGTACCACCTGTATAAATGTCAACGCAGTGTGAAAATAAAGTGGTATCTCAGCATTATTGTGAAAATAATAACTATTTACTAGGGCACGTGCATTCAGTGGAGAGAGAGAAAACCCCACCCAGGAGGGATGGCCACGCCACAATCCCGTCTCTTCTATTCTCCTCTTGGGATTTTGGGCATACACGTACATACGCTGGTATGACTTTTAAGCCTCCAGGCCCAGGACTTGAGCCATGGCTGGCCATATGGGCATCCAGTGCCTTAACCATTATACCACCTGCTGACCCCTGAATATAATTTTGATCTCAGAGACACAAAGGATCTTAGGATCACCTCCCCCAAGTTCCAAGGACCATACTTTGAGAATGTTGCGCTAGGCTACCTAGTTCCCACCTATTTTTTCCATCTTACGCTAGTCTTTCGTCCTGTGTCCTCAGGAACAGCTCTGTGACCTCCTCTAGAGTACTGAAAGTGGGTAATGGCTTCTCCCGGCCAGCAACCACAGCTGTGGGGCGTGGCCAGCCTTCAGCAGCTGCAGCCTGGGTTTTTGTTTCTACCGGCAAACTCCCAGGGGAAGGGCTCCTCACTCTTATTCTCCTCACCTCACTTCCTCTTCCCCTCCTCCAGTCCCTTTAATTCTTCACTGACCCCAAGTTCAGACAAATTGGTAGAGGAAAAGCCTTCATTTCAAGAAAGCTACAGAGGGCGTGGTGGCGCCCGCCCTATGGCAAGAAAGCTACAGAGAGGACTGTGCTTGGACAATTTGTCCACTTAAGTAACTGCTTCTACTTGTTTTTAAAATAGGGTCTACATGTCTGGATTGTTCTTTTTCTGGTTACAAAAGTAACAGAAGCTGGGGACCAGCAGGTGGTATGGTGGTTGGGGCGCTGGATACTCCCAAATGGCCGACTGTAGTTCGAATACCGGACCTGGTGGCTTGCTTTCTCACTTTCCCTCTCTCTCTCTCTCTCTGTGTATCTCTCTGGTCAAATTAAAATAAATGAATGAATAAATAAAATTAAATATATAATAATTTTTAAAAAAAGTAACAGAAGCTCAGAGTGGCAGGTGACATGGTGGTTAAGGTGCTGGACTCCTACACAGTCCACTTTCAAGTCCTGGATCTACTGGCTTGCTTTCTCACTTTCCCTCTCTCTCTGTCTCTCTGGTCAAATTAAAATAGTAATAATAAATTGAATTAAATAATTCTTTTTTAAAATATTTATTTATTTTCCTTCAATTTGACCAGAGAGAGACAGAGAAACACAGAGAAGGAGAATGAGAAAGCAAGCTGTCAGGTCCAGGACTTGAACCGTGGAGGGTAATTTCTCATTTTCTCTCTCTCTGACTCTCTGGTGACCACATGCACCTTAGAGCAAACATCTCTTTAAAAAATAAATAAATAAAAAAGAGCTGGGACTGGCAGTGCATACCTATAGTCTCTGCTAGGAGGAGGAGGCAGGAAGATCATAACATGGTAAGACTTTGTTTTCTTTTCTTTTTAATTTTTCTATTTTTATTGGAGGGCATGTACATTCACTGGAGAGAAAGGGAGAAAGTGAGAAAGCACCCTTAGGGATGCCACAATCCCTTCTCGTCCATCTCTCCCTCCTGTAGAGATTTTAGGCATGCACACATGTGCCTGGCATGTTTTCCAAGCTGCCAGGTCCAGGACTCGAATGTGCAATTGACTATGTGGGATCCAGCCACCTTGACCATGCCACTGGCTAGCCCATTCTTTTATTTTTTTTTGTAACGAATTAAAAAAAATTTAATGTATTATTATTTTTAAATTTGCTACAGGGCATGTGTGCTCACCAGATAGAGAGAGAGAGAAAGAGAAAGTAATAAAGCAAGCTGCCAGGTCTGGGACTCGAACTGCTGTTGACCACGTGGGAGTCCAGCACCTTAACCACCAGACACCTGCTGACACCCCTTTTTTCTTTTTATTTCATCCATCACAGAGAGACAGAGAGAGGGAGTCAGGCACTTCCACTAAGGTCTTCACATCATGCTTCACCCCAGCCTCAGTCAACCCTGGTGCATCCTTGTGCACCAAGCATGTACAGGGAGGCCTAGAGACAAGCACTCAGGACCTTCTTTTTTTTTTTTTTTTTTTTTTTTGCATAAGGAGACTTTACTGAAAACAGAAAACCAAGCGAACCAAGGATATTCCGAAGAACAGGAATGTGGACTCGTAGCAAAACAAAACAAAAGAACAAAAAGGGCGGGAGAGGTCTATTTGCATTGCTGCTGTGATACCAGGTCTAGTCTTACAATGACGGAAATTTCATGTATGAGGGCTCTACCTTGTGACCTAAGAACCTCCAAATATCATTGGGGATTAGGCTTCAACATATGAATGGGGGGGGGGCACAGAAACCTACAGTCCATAGTATTTGGTGGAAAAAAGGGACAGTACAAAGGCTCAGAGGTGGGAACTTTTCCAGGGAATGGCTAGATAGATTTAGGGTTCTTGGGGAGAGGAACTACGTGAGGAAGAAGGCCAGGAAATG